AGCGAGTGAGTGCTGAGCGGCGGTGCACCAGGACGTGGCGTAGAGCACGAAGACGCTGGCGGCGCGGGAGATGGCGCTGCGCGCCTCCTTGGACACGTTCACGCCCTCGGGCAGCTGTGCACACCCAGGGCCCAATAACAACAACAGCAGCAGTAGCTGGCACTCGTCACTACGTGGTGGTGACATCACCAAGTAGTTATATACAATGACTCCTCGACTTATGGACACTCGACTTACGAACTTTCAGAGACACGAACAAAGCTGTCCGTATGTCCAGTAGCTCGATCTGACCCAGAGTCGTAAGTTAAATCGCCGTGCAATGGATGGCGGTGGTGGCATCTACATCTGCAGAACGTGAAGAACCAGTGGCATCTACATCTGCAGAACGTGAAGAACCAGTGGCATCTACATCTGCAGAACGTGAAGAACCAGTGGCATCTACATCTACAGAAAGTGAAGGACCAGTGGCATCTACATCTGCAGAACGTGAAGAACCAGTGACATCTACATCTGCAGAACGTGAAGAACCAGTGGCATCTACATCTGCAGAACGTGAAGAACCAGTGGCATCTACATCTACAGAAAGTGAAGGACCAGTTGCATCTACATCTGCAGAACGTGAAGAACCAGTGGCATCTACATCTACAGAACGTTAAGAACCAGTGGCATCTACATCTGCAGAACGTGAAGAACCAGTGGCATCTACATCTGCAGAACGTTAAGAACCAGTGGCATCTACATCTGCAGAACGTTAAGAACCAGTGGCATCTACATCTACAGGACGTGAAGAACCAGTGGCATCTACATCTGCAGAACGTGAAGAACCAGTGACATCTACATCTGCAGGACGTGAAGAACCAGTGGCATCTACATCTACAGAAAGTGAAGGACCAGTGGCATCTACATCTGCAGAACGTGAACCAGTGGTATCTACATTTGCAGAACGTGAAGAACCAGTGGCATCTACATCTGCAGAACGTGAAGAACCAAACGTGAAGAACCATTGGCATCCACATCTGCAGAACATGAAGAACCAGTGGCATCTACATCTGCAGAACGTGAAGAACCAGTGGCATCTACATCTGCAGAACGTGAAGAACCAGTGGCATCTACATCTGCAGAACGTGAATAACCAGTGGCATCTACATCTGCAGAACGTGAATAACCAGTGGCATCTACATCTGCAGAACGTGAAGAACCACTGGCATCTACATCTGCAGAACGTGAAGAACCAGTGGCATCTACATCTGCAGAACGAATAGCCAGTGGCATCTACATCTGCAGAACGTGAAGAACCAGTGGTATCTACATCTGCAGAACGTGAAGAACCAGTGGCATCTACATCTGCAGGACATGAAGAACCAGTGGCATCTACATCTGCAGAACGTGAAGAACCAGTGGCATCTACATCTGCAGAACGTGAACAACCAGTGGTATCTACATCTGCAGAACATGAAGAACCAGTGGCATCTACATCTGCAGAACGTGAAGAATCAGTGGCATCTACATCTGCAGGACGTGAAGAACAAGTGGCATCCACATCTGCAGAACGTGAAGAACCAGTGGCATCTACATCTGCAGAACATGAAGAACCAGTGGCATCTACATCTGCAGAACGTGAAGAACCAGTGGCATCTACATCTGCAGAACATGAAGAACCAGTGGCATCTACATCTGCAGAACGTGAAGAACCAGTGGCATCTACATCTGCAGAACATGAAGAACCAGTGGCATCTACATCTGCAGAACGTGAAGAACCAGTGGCATCTACATCTGCAGAACGTGAAGAACCAGTGGCATCTACATCTGCAGAACGTGAAGAACCAGTGGCATCTACATCTGCAGAACATGAAGAACCAGTGGCATCTGCACAGAACGTGAAGAAATAGTTACATGATAATTGTTTTTTTACCCTTTTATCTGGCAACAAAACTGACACCTTTTTTACGAGGAGTCATGTTTGCATAGACCACAATACCTGCAGTCATAATGCAAACAAAAAACATAACTCTGATAATGTATGCACTGTCCTTGAAGTTGATTGGTCCACACCCGAGACAGCTTTCCTTAGAGCCTAGTCTCACATGGGTTGGACCATGGGTTGGTACGGGTACCCGTACCCGTACCGGGCCGGGTACGGTTACCCGTTCCCTACCCGTACCCTACTCGAAATGAGTGACAAACGGTTACTCACCAGTGACTCACGGTCTACCCGTACCCGGCCGCACCAGGGACGCAAACGGGTACCCCGTACCCGGCCTGGTACGGGTAGCCGGGTATCGGGTAGGGTACGGGTATCGGGTACCCGGTTGCGACCTCTGGTGCACCTGAAAGCGCCGTGCGATGCGACGGCGACATCGCGACCCAGGGTTCAAACGCCGCCAATAAAACAGGCCCAAGTGGACGGCGTGTTTCTCACCGCGTCCTTGATGATCCGTGTGATGACCGCATTTGGCAAGTTCAGGTCCTCAGGTCTCTCTGCCATGCTGGGATCCTGCGAGCGTACACACAGCGACAAAAGACCCCCCCCGTGTAGCGTTAACAGGCTGCCGGGGCAATTTAAGGGCTTGCATCTTGAATCCTTGCCTCACTTGATGCAGCAAATCTGGCTGTGACGGTCCCACCTGATGACGGAGACTTGCGTTGCCTCCGAAACGTCGTGATTTTATTGTTCTATTTTTATTAATTTTAATTTCATTTTTTACCTACGTGACTTTACCGAAAGAACTAAGAGTATGAGGCAAGTGTTGTTGGCGAGCAGCACCTGCGAAGGTCAGCACGGTACACGAGGGGGTGGTTGACCGACGTCACGCCCGGCCGCCTTTGTCTCCCCGGTGGTGATGTGTACTACACACCGCACCAGGTACTCATTTTAGGCTGAGTCGACACAGATACACACACAGACAGGTATACACACACACAGGTATACACACACACAGGTATACACACACACAGGTACACACACACACAGGTACACACACACACAGGTACACAAACACACAGGTACACACACACAGGTACACACACACAGGTACACACACACAGGTACACACACACACACGCAGGTACACACACACACACAGGTACACACACACGCAGGTACACACACACAGGTACACACACACACACAGGTACACACACACGTGTACACACACAGCTATATACAAACACACAGGTACACGCACATGCAAAGATCCCCCGTATAGCCTTGACAAGAATGTTGGGGAAAGTGCTGTTAGCGAGCACCTATGAAGGCCGGGACGGTACACTAGGGAGTGGGTGGCCAACACCACGCCCGGCCGCCTTTGTCTCCCCAGTGGCGATGTTTACTACACACCGCACCGGGTACTCAGGCGAGGTAGTTAACATCTCCTAGCCACCGTGATGAGAGAGAGAGACACGCAAACTCCAAATATACAGCAGCAGTAGGCGTCAGAGTAGCGATCGAACCCACGACCTCCTGTACACCAGGCGAGGTAGTTAACATCTCCTAGCCACCGTGATGATGATGAGAGAGAGACACACACAAACTCCAAATATACAGCAGCAGGCGTCAGAGTTGCGAGCAAACCCATCGCTGCAGCGCTCTCACCGCGAATGGCGACAGCGATGTCCGTTTCAGTCGTGGGAATAGTTACGAGGTTAGTGGGGTGGGGGGTAAGAAAGTTAAATGGATTTAAACGAAAACTAAAATTCACTCCGCATCGATTCACGTCACTGAACGCGCGGGAAAACCACACGTGGGTGACCCCTGACCCCCCCCTCTACTTCCGGTTTACAAAAGTTATAGATTTCGTAAAATAATAATGTTTTGCGTTTTGCGAGGCTTTGTTCGATGTTTTTAATGGAGATTAGGTCACCAAGAATCGGTCAACAAATATTAAAATAAAAAATGTTTTAATGATTGATTCGTTTCTATTGTTAGCGCCTAAGCAAGCGTTCGACGTATACGCACTACGGTTTACAATCTGGAAACGAACAAGAAATAGAATTCATGCATCGCATTGGCATGCGAGCGCCTCGCGTGATTGGTTAAAGTAAAGTCACGTGGGATTGATTCTACATCTTCCAGAAGTGGTAGATATCAACGTAACTTATACCATCTTCCGGAAGATATCTACGTCTTCTGGAAGATTGCTACTTCGGAATAATTTGTATTATTTACCGGAAAAATCTGCTTCTCTGGGAGATTACTACTGGCTCGGTATAATTTGTATCATCTTCTTGAAAGCCTACATCTTCCGGAAGATTACGAATTACTCCGGGGAGATTAAATTAATATTTTGGAAGATATCTCCTCTTCCGGAAGATTGCTACCAATCACGGGATGATTCGTCGCAACTTCCGGAAGAGGTAGATGTCAATACTCTTCGGTTTTTTCGGTAAAGTCACGTAGGTAAAAAAAAATAGAAATAATAAAATAAATAAAAATTATTCATTATGAAATAATAATAGAAATAAACTAAATTAATAATAAAAAATAGTGAAAATTATAGAAATAAAATATGTAAATATTAAAAATATTTTAAATTATACTAGAAATAAAATACTCTTAGTTCTTTCGGTAAAGTCACGTAAGTAAAAAAATGAAATTAAAATTAATAAAAAAAAATATCGATTTTAAGCTTTCGTGACTGTAGGGATTCATCTTCTTGGTTCTTTCGGTAAAGTCACGTAGAAGGAAAATAATAAAATAACAAAAAAAAAACATAATAAAATAATATCATTAGTTTATTATGTTTTATTATTTTATTATTTCCTTCTACGTGACTACGTACCGAAAGAACCAAGAAGAAAAATAAAATAATAAATCACGACATAATAACATACGCTCATTATTTATTTTTTACCTATGTGACTTTACCTAAAAAACCTATGAGTATGAATCAACAGTCACGAAAGATTCAAATGTAGCCGTCAATATTCCAATCGAACCTGTCTACCTCTTCCGGCAGACAACGAACAACAAAAAAAACGATAAAATGTTTCGGTAGAAACTTCCGGAAGCCAAACCCACGTGCGCATGCGCACTGGAGCCCTAACGAACCCCCCCCCCCACCCGGTTACTATAGGGAGGTGAGTTGGTGCGTTCGGCTTTCGCGTTTAGGGTTTTTTTTTTTTATATTTACGCAAAATATTAAACTAAAAATACTTTCGCCGTCTCATCGTCGCGTTTCGTGTGCGTCGAGACGAACTGGCGGTCGCGTTTCCGAACGTAAATCATTTCACCCCTCAACCCCGTCCCCGTCGACGCAGCCGCTAGGAAAAGCCTGCGATAGGCCTCAGGCGCTATAATAAAAAAATATATATTTTTAAAGATTTTCTTTCAAACAAATCTCTCTCCCTTTCTTTCTCCTTCTTTCTCTCGCTCGTCAAATGACGATATTCGAGTGTACAACGGCGCACAAGCGTCACCGTCTCACGATCAACAACGCTTGACGTCGCAGGCTCGTGGTGGTGGTGGTGGTGGAGGCCTTAATCCAGCAGTGGATTAGATCACGACTGACGATTAACAACAACGTTTAAAGCCGGGGTGGGATAAAATTAAGTACCGGTTTGCGGACTGTAGATAATGGTTACACTCTGGATGGACTGCCCCCCACCATAGTAACGTGGAATTTACACGAGTTACATCGTTGTTAACACAATACTGGAATCGTGTAAATGAATACGATTATTTTAGCTCTTGATTTCGTAACTTACGGGTCCTTCTTGTCGATCCAGTGCCGAATGAAAACCTTCCAAGTGCCGTGTCGGTTATGGGGGTTGAATGGCCATACTTCACCACTTTGGTCAGTGGAGGTGGGGGGAGAGTTAGGGACAGGTTCAGATGCCACCAGCCGAACGTAGGTCCAATGGGTTTGTAGCGTAGTGCGCTAATCACCCCCCCCCCTCACCTACATAATACTGTACCATGTGAATGTGTGACTATGCACACACTACACTGAATTACGGTTGTAATGTACATTACGTTGTGCAAGACACACACACACACACACGAGACATTTGCCTGTTCACATTATCACCTACCCATCAGCTTGCTCACGCGTTCACCCAATTGCTAACACGCACAAACTATAAGAACCTTAATAATACATTAGTTTAGCTCTGAGCGTATGTTATTACACCTGGGTGTCGTATTTGTGACACCTGTGATAACATGTGCACTTGTGTGCCGTATTTGTGTTTACTTGTGTTTGTACATTTGTATACTGTGTGTATATCTTAATTTTGGAGCTTTCGTGACTGCAGGAATTATTCTTTGGTTCTTTCGGTAAAGTCACGTATAAAGAGAAAATAATAAATTAAATAAATGCATACGACGTTTCGATTGCAACACAAGACAATCATCAGGTATGTCGCTATTTCATAATACCTGATGATGATTGTGTGTATGTATTTGTGTATATCTATAAAAAGTGTGTCTCTAATTGTATACGGGCGCCACGGTGGCGAGATGTTAAATACCTCGCCTGGTATACAGGGGGTCGTGGCTTCGAGTTTGCATGTTCTCCCCGTGGTCGCGTGGATTTTTCTCCACGTCCCCCGGTTCTTGACTGCTGTACATTTCCACGCTTTGACCACGACAAGCCCACTTCATTGAGCTATCATTTGTGATATAGCCAGGGTCGCTTCTGAAAAAATAGCTGCACGGCAACTCAAGTGGGGGCATTCCCTTGTAAAATACAACTGTTTTTGAGTTGTACGCCTTTTGGCGTCATCTGGTCCAACACCAATGGAGACTAGGCTCTAAGGAAAGCTGTCTCGGGTGTGGACCAATCAACTTCAAGGACAGTGCATATCATTATCATCATCAGAGTTGTTTCTTTTTGTTTGAATTTTGACTGCTTGTGTTGCGGTTATTGCAAACATGATGCCTTGTATAAAGGTGTCAGTTTTGTACCAGTTTAAAGGGTAAAAACCTACTACTAAAATACAACTAATTTGTATATCTGTGTGTGCGTGCGGTTATGCAGGCAAAATGAGTAGCTCTGAAGAAGTGTCGTGGATCTCCTGGTTCTGTGGGCTGCGAGGAAATGAGTTTTTCTGCGAGGTAATACCGACGCCACGTGAGGGTCACACGCGGGTTATTTGACCGCACTACGCCCTGCTCGGCGCGGGTTTGCTGAAGGCGTGGGACGGACGCGCGGGAGCGTAGATGTGCAGTACGATTGAACGGGGGTTTTGATGTTAAGTGTTCGTTGCTGGGGCCGAGTGTGTGCGGAGAAGTTCAACAAACGTACATACGTTCTGAAAAAGAGTTTTAGCTCTGTACGCTTTATTGGTAAGATAAAACATAATTTAGTTTTCGTTGAGATTTTTTAAAAGTGATTTCCTTACATTTCCCATACTTTGCACTGCTGTCGTGGTTTTATATTGTTCGTTGTTACATTCTTTCAGTTTCATTTATTTGGTATAGCCCTGTGAGCCATTCGGCTATTGAATTCCTCTGACCCCTGCACATCCATTCTGACCCCTGCACACCTTACCGGGCATCTGTGAAAAATACCTTCACAACTCATCATATTCCTCCTGCAGTAGAAAGAAATACAGTGGTACCTCGGTATACGTCGTTAATTCGTTCCAGAAGGGGTAGGACTTATACCAAAAATGACGTAGACACCAAACGAATTTTTCTCCCATAAGAAATAAAGGTAAAGGAAATAATCCGTTGCAGAGTATAAGAAATGATATTTTATATGGCATATTATACATTAATGGGGTTGTATAAAATAATTTAGACACTGCTTATTACTAAAATGCATGCATAAATTAAAATAAATGCATAAATCAATTAAAATAAATTGAAATGAAAATTAAATGTAACGTCAATTTACCTTGCTGAGAGGAGTTGATAGCCTACGAGGATGGTGGTGAGGAAGGGGAGGAGGAGGAGATGCTATTTTTTGGAAGGAGAGTCCCCTCCATTACAACTACTGCACAGGCAGACTGAGGAGCGGCGCTTTGTTTCGGTCGTGAACGGGGTATTCGCGGGTACGCGGTGACTCATTCCGACCCATATAAGTTCTAGCAAGACGTCGTATCCCTAGCAAGACGTCGTATCCCAAGCAAGGCGTCGTATCCCTAGCAAGACGTCGTATCCCAAGCAAGACGTCGTATCCCAAGCAAGACGTCGTATCTCAAGCAAGACATCGTATCCCTAGCAAGACGTCGTATCCCAAGCAAGACGTCGTATCCCAAGCGAGACGTCGTATCCCTAGCAAGACGTCGTATCCCAAGCAAGACGTCGTATTCCAAGCAAGACATCGTATCCCAAGAAAGACGTCGTATCCCTAGCAAGACGTCGTATCCCAAGCAAGGCGTCGTATCCCTAGCAAGACGTCGTATCCCAAGCAAGACGTCGTATCCCAAGCAAGACGTCGTATCTCAAGCAAGACATCGTATCCCTAGCAAGACGTCGTATCCCAAGCAAGACGTCGTATCCCAAGCGAGACGTCGTATCCCTAGCAAGACGTCGTATCCCAAGCAAGACGTCGTATCCCAAGCAAGACATCGTATCCCTAGCAAGACGTCGTATCCCAAGCAAGACGTCGTATCCCAAGCAAGACATCGTATCCCTAGCAAGACGTCGTATCCCAAGCAAGACGTCGTATCCCAAGCAAGACGTCGTATCCCAAGCAAGACGTCGTATCCCAAGCAAGACATCGTATCCCTAGCAAGACGTCGTATCCCAAGCAAGACGTCGTATCCCAAGCGAGACGTCGTATCCCTAGCAAGACGTCGTATCCCAAGCGAGACGTCGTATCCCAAGCGAGACGTCGTATCCCAAGCGAGACGTCGTATCCCTAGCAAGACGTCGTATCCCAAGCAAGACGTCGTATCCCAAGCGAGATGTCGTATCCCAAGCAAGACGTCGTATCCCAAGCAACACGTCGTATCCCAAGCGAGACGTCGTATCCCTAGCAAGACGTCGTATCCCAAGCAAGGCGTCGTATCCCAAGCGAGACGTCGTATCCCAAGCGAGACGTCGTATCCCAAGCAAGGCGTCGTATCCCAAGCGAGACGTCGTATCCCAAGCGAGACGTCGTATCCCAAGCAAGACGTCGTATCCCAAGCGAGACGTCGTATCCCTAGCAAGACGTCGTATCCCAAGCAAGACGTCGTATCCCAAGCAAGACATCGTATCCCAAGAAAGACGTCGTATCCCTAGCAAGACGTCGTATCCCAAGCAAGGCGTCGTATCCCTCGCAAGACGTCGTATCCCAAGCAAGACGTCGTATCCCAAGCAAGACGTCGTATCTCAAGCAAGACATCGTATCCCTAGCAAGACGTCGTATCCCAAGCAAGACGTCGTATCCCAAGCGAGACGTCGTATCCCTAGCAAGACGTCGTATCCCAAGCAAGACGTCGTATCCCAAGCGAGACATCGTATCCCTAGCAAGATGTCGTATCCCAAGCAAGACGTCGTATCCCAAGCGAGACGTCGTATCCCTAGCAAGACGTCGTATCCCAAGCAAGACGTCGTATCCCAAGCAAGACATCGTATCCCAAGAAAGACGTCGTATCCCTAGCAAGACGTCGTATCCCAAGCAAGGCGTCGTATCCCTAGCAAGACGTCGTATCCCAAGCAAGACGTCGTATCCCAAGCAAGACGTATCTCAAGCAAGACATCGTATCCCTAGCAAGACGTCGTATCCCAAGCAAGACGTCGTATCCCAAGCGAGACGTCGTATCCCTAGCAAGACGTCGTATCCCAAGCAAGACGTCGTATCCCAAGCAAGACATCGTATCCCTAGCAAGACGTCGTATCCCAAGCAAGACGTCGTATCCCAAGCAAGACATCGTATCCCTAGCAAGACGTCGTATCCCAAGCAAGACGTCGTATCCCAAGCAAGACGTCGTATCCCAAGCAAGACGTCGTATCCCAAGCGAGATGTCGTATCCCAAGCAAGACGTCGTATCCCAAGCGAGACGTCGTATCCCAAGCAAGACGTCGTATCCCTAGCAAGACGTCGTATCCCAAGCAAGGCGTCGTATCCCAAGCGAGACGTCGTATCCTAAGCGAGACGTCGTATCCCAAGCGAGACGTCGTATCCCAAGCAAGACGTCGTATCCCAAGCGAGACGTCGTATCCCAAGCAAGACGTCGTATCCCAAGCAAGGCGTCGTATCCCAAGCAAGACGTCGTATCCCTAGCAAGACGTCGTATCCCAAGCAAGGCGTCGTATCCCAAGCGAGACGTCGTATCCCAACCAAGGCGTCGTATCCCAAGCAAGACGTCGTATCCCAAGCAAGACGTCGTATCCCAAGCAAGGCGTCGTATCCCAAGCAAGACGTCGTATCCCAAGCAAGACGTCGTATCCCAAGCAAGGCGTCGTATCCCAAGCGAGGCGTCGTATCCCAAGCAAGGCGTCGTATCCCAAGCAAGACGTCGTATCCCAAGCAAGACGTCGTATCCCAAGCAAGGCGTCGTATCCCAAGCGAGACGTCGTATCCCTAGCAAGACGTCGTATCCCAAGCAAGGCGTCGTATCCCAAGCGAGACGTCGTATCCCAAGCAAGACGTCGTATCCCAAGCAAGGCGTCGTATCCCTAGCAAGGCGTCGTATCCCTAGCAAGGCGTCGTATCCCTAGCAAGACGTCGTATCCCAAGCAAGGCGTCGTATCCCAAGCGAGACGTCGTATCCCAAGCAAGACGTCGTATCCCAAGCAAGGCGTCGTATCCCAAGCGAGACGTCGTATCCCTAGCAAGGCGTCGTATCCCAAGCAAGACGTCGTTATCCCAAGCGAGACGTCGTATCCTAAGCGAGACGTCGTATCCCAATCAAGGCGTCGTATCCCAAGCGAGACGTCGTATCCCTAGCAAGGCGTCGTATCCCAAGCAAGGCGTCGTATCCCAAGCAAGGCGTCGTATCCCAAGCAAGGCGTCGTATCCCAAGCAAGACGTCGTATCCCAAGCGAGGCGTCGTATCCCAAGCGAGACGTCGTATCCCAAGCGAGACGTCGTATCCCAAGCAAGGCGTCGTATCCCAAGCGAGACGTCGTATCCCAAGCAAGACGTCGTATCCCAAGCGAGACGTCGTATCCCAAGCAAGGCGTCGTATCCCAAGCAAGACGTCGTATCCCAAGCAAGACGTCGTATCCCAAGCAAGGCGTCGTATCCCAAGCAAGACGTCGTATCCCAAGCAAGACGTCGTATCCCAAGCAAGACGTCGTATCCCAAGCAAGACGTCGTATCCCAAGCAAGGCGTCGTATCCCAAGCGAGGCGTCGTATCCCAAGCGAGGCGTCGTATCCCAAGCGAGACGTCGTATCCCAAGCAAGGCGTCGTATCCCAAGCAAGACGTCGTATCCCAAGCAAGACGTCGTATCCCAAGCAAGACGTCGTATCCCAAGCAAGGCGTCGTATCCCAAGCGAGACGTCGTATCCCTAGCAAGACGTCGTATCCCAAGCAAGGCGTCGTATCCCAAGCGAGACGTCGTATCCCAAGCAAGACGTCGTATCCCAAGCAAGGCGTCGTATCCCAAGCGAGATGTTGTATCCCTAGCAAGGCGTCGTATCCCAAGCAAGACGTCGTTATCCCAAGCGAGACGTCGTATCCTAAGCGAGACGTCGTATCCCAAGCAAGGCGTCGTATCCCAAGCGAGACGTCTTATCCCTAGCAAGGCGTCGTATCCCAAGCAAGGCGTCGTATCCCAAGCAAGACGTCGTATCCCAAGCAAGGCGTCGTATCCCAAGCAAGACGTCGTATCCCAAGCAAGGCGTCGTATCCCAAGCGAGACGTCGTATCCCTAGCAAGACGTCGTATCCCAAGCAAGGCGTCGTATCCCAAGCGAGACGTCGTATCCCAAGCGAGACGTCGTATCCCAAGCAAGACGTCGTATCCCAAGCAAGACGTCGTATCCCAAGCAAGATGTCGTATCCCAAGAAAGACGTCGTATCCCAAGCGAGACGTCGTATCCCAAGCGAGACGTCGTATCCCAAGCAAGACATCGTATCCCAAGAAAGACATCGTATCCCAAGCAAGACGTCGTATCCCAAGCAAGACGTCGTATCCCAAGCAAGACGTCGTATCCCAAGCAAGACGTCGTATCCCAAGCAAGACGTCGTATCCCAAGCAAGGCGTCGTATCCCAAGACATTTTTTTCTCTCGTCAAAACACGACGTATACCAAATTCGACGTATTCCAAAGCGCTCGTATACCGAGGTATGACTGTATTCTGATATTCTGACGAGTTCCCCCTCCCTCCCTCCCTCCCTCTCTCCGCCCACAGGTAGACGAAGACTACATCCAGGACAAGTTCAACCTGACGGGTCTGAACGAGCAGGTTCCTCACTACCGCCAAGCGCTCGACATGATCCTTGACCTGGAGCCAGGTGAGGCTTACGGCCGCCGTGATGCGTTTCGACCGCGCACGGCAGGATGGCCGTGCTCGCCGCTTTCCCATGCGAGTCCGGGCGTGCTCGTTCATCAGCTCTGTCCGTCGCTCTGTAAACGCGGAGCGTCGCACGAGGCGTTTAGAATGCCCGTCGTGATTTTCTTACAGTGCGCTAGCGATGTCCGTTTCATCATTAGACCTTCTTTGCCAGTATCAAAATATAATAATAGAGTTTTTCCCTTTTTTTTTGGCAACAAAACGGAAACCTTTTTACAAGGATTCATGTCTGCATTAAAGTGACTGCAAGTATTGTGGTTCATGCAGACATGAATCCTTGTAAAAAGATTTCAGTTTTGTTGCCTCCCCGACAGACCTGGTCTTCACCTGAGGACGGCTGCTTGCGTTGTGGCCGAAACGTCGTGAGAATTATTTTATTATGTTTTATTTTTATTATTTTATTACTTCCCTTCTATGTGACTTTACCGAAAGAACCAAGCCAAGAAGAAAAAAACCCTATTGTTATATGTCCGTCTCCTCACGCATTTCAACTGAGGTTGAAAGTGATTGAGAGTTTTTTTCGCATCGATGTGCGTGTGTGTGTTTTCTCGCGGCGTGTCTACGTGTGTGCACGCGCGTATATGTGTTTGTGTGTGTGCACGCATGAACGTATTGTGGCGGAATTGTGGGCGTGCATGTGGCTGTCTGCGTGAGTTGTTGTGCACGTTTGTGTACGCGCGTGTGAATGATTACGCGTGCGTGTTGATGTGTTGTGCGCGTGTGTGGGGAACGTTAGTGCAGCGGTGAGCGCCTTGCGCTATGAACCCGGTGACCTGAGTTCGATTCCCGCTCATGGTCAACACACGGTGACAGCGATCTGAACTAGTCTTGCGCCACGAGGCCGATCGGGCCTCAAATGAGTACCTGGCGTGGTGTGTAAACATCGGCCTTCATAGGCGCTACTCGCTAACAGCACTTGCCCCGACAGTCTGTTGAAGCTATACGGGGGATCTTTGTGCGTGTGTGTCACAGACGATGAGCTGGAGGACAACCCTAATCAGAGCGACCTCATCGAGCAGGCTGCGGAGATGCTGTACGGCCTCATCCACGCCCGCTACATCCTCACCAACCGCGGCATCGCACAGATGGTAACCGCTCACCACGCTCACACTCACCGTGTGGGAGATCCTGCTCAAGAGGGGTTAAGGGGTGTTCAGCCTCCTCTCATCTCACTCTACTCCCCTCCACGCTCTCTCCTGCCTATCTCTCTCCTCTCATCTCACTCCACTCCCCTCCACGCACTCTCCTGCCTCTCATCTCACTCCACTCCCCTCCACGCACTCTCCTGCCTCTCCCCTCTCATCTCACTCTACTCCCCTCCACGCACTCTCCTACCTCTCCCCTCTCATCTCACTCCACTCCCCTCCACGCACTCTCCTACCTCTCCCCTCTCATCTCACTCCACTCCCCTCCACGCACTCTCCTACCTCTCCCCTCTCATCTCACTCCACTCCCCTCAACGTACTCTCCTACCTCTCCCCTCTCATCTCACTCTACTCCCCTCCACACACTCTCCTGCCTCTCCCCTCTCATGTTACTCTACTCCTCTCCACGCACTCCCCTACCTCTCCACTCTCATCTCACTCTACTCCCCTCCACGCACTCTCCTGCCTCTCCCCTCTCATCTCACTCTACTCCCCTCTACGCTTTCTCCTACCTCTCACCTCTCATCTCACCCGCTTCCCTCTCATCTCACTCCACTCCCCTCCACGCTCTCTCCTACTTCTCCCCTCTCAACTCACTCCACTCCCCTCTAATCTCACTCCACTCCCCTCCACGCTCTCTCCTACCTCTCCCCTCTCATGTTACTCTACTCCCCTCCACACACTCTCCTACCTCTCCCCTCTCATCTCACTCTACTCCCCTCCACGCACTCTCCTACCTCTGCCCTCTCATCTCACTCCACTCCCCTCCACGCACTCTCCGACCTCTCCCTTTGCATCTCACTCTACTCCCCTCCACGCACTCTCCTGCCTCTCCCCTCTCATCTCGCTCCACTCCCCTCCACGCTCTCTCCTACCACTCCCCTCTCATCTCACACCACTCTAATCACATTTAGATGCTACTTAAATCCACATCCACATTGCGTTATATGGACTCGCACAGACATCTGCAGACTCGCATAGATACCCACAGACACCCGTAGACTCACATAGACTCGTATAGAGATCCACAGACTCGCACCGACCCATGGACTCAGATTGACATCTGGCGACTCACAAAGAGACCCGCATTCTCACATAGAGACCTATAACTCCTTCTCTCTATAGCAGTGTCCTTCACTTATTTTCAGAGCGGGTGGCAACTTTCGCCGATAAGACCTCATCAGTGTGAGGAGGGGCCTTGCGATGAAGAAAGCCGCTCTCTGTGAAGTCAACACGTCCACTGTATACCAGAGGTCGCAAACGGGTTTTGATTCCTTACCTGTACCCGGCCGCACCAGGGTCGCAAACGGGTACCCGTACCCTACCCGTACCCGGCCGGGTACGGGTATCGGGTACCCGATTGCGACCTCTGGGGTGAAGCCATGTTGCAGGCACGGGTGGGTTGATTCTAGGAACTTGAATTGTGAGAAGAGACAAGACGTTGGGAAATGAGTGACAAACAGTTACTCACCAGTGACTCAGGGTCTACCCGTACCCGGCCGCACCAGGGTCGCAAACGGGTACCCGTACCCGTACCTGGCCGGGTACGGGTAGCCGGATTTCGGGTAGGGTACGGGTATCGGGTACCCGATTGCGACCTCTGCTGTACACGGCCTCTTGAGATTTGGCCGCGTTTTCTCGCTGTACACAACCACTCTGTGTTGTCCTGCCCCCTCTCGTCTTTCTGTCTTTAGTTTGTTGTCCTTCCCCCGCACCTCCGATTGGTGCGGTTGGTTACGTATGGTGTGGAAGAAGTTCAACATACATACAGACTGCCCATAGACTAACATTGCACATAGACTCAACACTACCCATAGACTCAACACTGTCCACAGACTCAACACTGCACCATAGACTTAACACTGCCCATAGACTCAACACTGCCCAGAGACTCAACACTGCCCATAGACTCAACACTACCTGTAGAGACTCAACACTGCCCGTAGACTCAACACTGCCCATAGACTCAACACTGCCCATTGACTCAACACTGCACCTCCGATTCGCACGGTTGGCTACGTACGGTACGAAAGAGATTCAACGTACACACATACATACTGACCCCTTGTTGCGCCTGTGTTGTTTTGTGCGTCTGCGTAGCTCGAGAAATACCAGCAGGGCGACTTTGGCCACTGCCCCCGCGTTTACTGCGAGAACCAGCCGATGCTGCCCATTGGTGAGACAGACGCATGCGCACACACGTGCACACACGCACGCGCACACACATGTGCAGACACACGTGCACACACACGTGCACACACACACGCGCACGTGCACGCACACACGTGCACGCACGCCTGCACACGCGCACGCACGCCCGCCGCACACGCGCGCTCGCAACGGCAGCAGCCACTGTTCGCCACTAAATGGCGGTGACGTCACCACGGCGCTCGTGCCAGGCTAGGTGCACTTTCAGGCCACGTGATGAGTCGATGGGCTCGCTGATAGGAGGTCACGGGACAGAACCCAGGTGCCACGAGTTGACTGAGACGACTGCCCAAAGCACCACCAGCTCTGCTCCCCACTCTGCCAAATCGCTGATGTTTTAGCCGCCCGGCAGTTCGCTCCTTTCCCCTACGTTGTTGCTGGAGGGCGACTGTGGCTACCTAATAATGGAAGGAAGAGCGTTCCAGACGGCCACATAATAAATGTGTAAATGTTGTGGATTCACTCTTCAACACACCGGTGGACTAAAGCGGTGAACTATTTTGTCTTTTTGTCAACGTGACGCTTTTTTGCTGATTGGCCGTGTCGGGTGGTGGAGGGTTACTACACATTTGTAAATAACGCGATCTGACCCAAACACCTTTATTATGGATAATATTGGTCGTGAAAGCCTGCTACGTGTTAAACTAAATGAACAACTTTGTTTAACTCACGGTCGAGGAGTACGTCAATGGCGTCTGCGTTTTGTCCGAGCCGATTCCACAGTTTAGGGACCGCGACGTTTTTGACCTACACACAAATATATAAATAATAAGGTGTCCATACAAAATGTAAATTGTTTTAAAGTATGATAATTGTTTTTTTTACCCTTTTATCTGGCAAACAAAACTGACACCTTTTTTTACAAGGAGTCATGTTTGCATTGAGCACAATACCTGCGTTCGGAATGCAAACAAAAAACACAACTCTGATAATGTATGCACTGTCCTTGAAGTTGATTGGTCCACACCTGAGACAGCTTTTCTTAGAGCCTAGTCTCACATGGGTTGGACCAGATGACGCCAAAAGGCGCACAACTCAAAGACAACGCACCATCAGAGTATGAGAGCTCGGGGTAAGCATTTACACCATTGGAACCTCATTTGCCAGTAAAAATATGATAATTGGTTTTTTACCCTTTTATCTGGCAACAAAACTGACACTTTTTTTACAAGGAGTCATGTTTGCATTGACCACAATACCTGCGGTCGGAATGCAAACAAAAAACACAACTCTGATGAGATGTATGCAGTGTCCTTGAAATTGATTGGTCCACACCCGAGACAGCTTTTCTTAGAGCCTAGTTTCACATGGTGTTGGACCAGATGACGCCAAAGGAGGTTCCAATGGTGCTTTCAAGTAGCGAATTAATTGATTAATTGATGCCGATTTTGATAGAGGCACGCATTGTCACCGGATCTTGAGCACGTGTGTGCAACGTGTGGAATTGATTTGATAACGGGAAGTGGAGGAAGTTTTAATTACAAGATTCGACCACGACAAACAGAGGAATCAAGTTCAGTAAAAACCGTTGAATAACACTGTTCAACAAAAACAAAATTCTGGCCTGGACTTTTGCAGCTGTTCTAGACTAATTCAGGGTGCTGATTCCAAATCTGTTCTCAGATTTGCTCTATCACATCTAATTTGTATGCTATCGGCATACCCCATTTTCATTGATTTTACCCGAAATGAACTCTGTCACATGATTGCAAGTTGTTGCGAGTCAATGACTGCTTTAGTGTTAAAATACGGTGCTGTATTTTTAGGATAGTGTGTTTATAATATCATTTAATGTAGATATCCACATTTATTTAATATTTTTCTTCCGCAGTTTTTATTGAAATTGCAATATTTGATATCTCAAAAACCTGATGTGATAGACAAAAACAGATGCCAGATTTGGAATCGGCACCCCAAAATTACATTAAAACCGTTGGAATACCTTATGCCAGAAAAAGTGTGTTGACCAGCGTTAGCGCGGTTAAAACTAAAAACTAAACTTTTTGTTTACCAGGCAAGGCCCACCGACCTTCACAGCTCTTTCAGAAGTGACTTGGCCACAAATGATCGCTCATAGAGAAGCGGCTTATCGTTTGGAAATGTACACGAGCCGGAAATATGCCAGAAAAGTAAACCCGTAAAAGCAAAGTTTTTCAATATAAATCCTTTATATGCGTAGCATCGGGGCGGCTAGAGTCCTCTCGTCCTCTGGCTTGAGATGGCTGCCACCTATGGGTCAGATGATTGTCTGGCAGCATTAAACAAGAGGCAATTAAATATTTATTTATTTTCCCCTAAACAGTGTAAAATTTTGGGAACAATTTTTCACGAAAATGCATTGTCACGCACAACGAGTCTGTGTACAAAATGTCAGCTCGATTGGATCACGGGAAGTGGGTTAAAAAACGACCGAAAGATTTGCACGGTCCTAAGCAAGCAAGCAAGCAAGTGAACTTAATATAAAGGATTTAAAAAGTGTGTTGACCAGTGTTATCGTGCCTCGCCCAACCGCGAACCAGGTCTGTCGGATGTCCCGGGCGAGGCGATGGTGAAGCTCTACTGCCCCAAGTGCATGGACGTGTACACACCCAAGTCGTCGCGTCACCACCATACCGACGGAGCCTACTTTGGCACCGGATTCCCGCACATGCTTTTCATGGTGCACCCCGAGTATCGGCCCAAGCGCCCGGCGAACCAGTTCGTGCCGCGGTGAGTGGCTGCCCTCGCTAAGCTATTTTTATTTTGCCAGGTAATTACATTAAAACAACATTGAGCTATCGGGATTATTTTTCAGCAACGACCTGACCATCAACGAGAAGTGGCTTATCATCATCGTTGTGTGGAAATTAATATCAGTTAAATACTCTAAATACTATCTTCATTTGGAGCTTTCGTGACTGCAGGAATTACTCTTTGGTTCTTTCTGTGAAGTCACGTATAAAGATAAAATAATAAATTAAATACTAGCATACAACGTTTCGATTGCAACACAAGCAATCATCAGGTATAAATGAAATAGAAACACAAATCTAGTATACTCAGAAATGGAATGTAATACAACAGAGAGTCGGATAACATAACAGTCAACACCCTACCTGGTTGATTACGTTCTTCCTGAGAATGCTAAATTTGACTTACTCTAAATACTATTTGACTACTCTATTTTACCAGGTAAGGCCCCCCCCCCCCCAAACAACATTGAGCTATAGGGATTGTTTTTCAGCAACGACCTGACCCATCAACGAAGTGGCTTATCATTATCATCATCATCATCGTTGTGTGGAAATTAATAGCAGATAAATACTCTAAATACTATCGTAATTTGGAGCTTTTGTGACTGCAGGAATTACTCTTTGGTTCTTTCTGTGAAGTCACGTATAAAGATAAAATAATAAATTAAATACTAGCATACAACGTTTCGATTGCAACACAAGCAATCATCAGGTATAAATGAAATAGAAACACAAATCTAGTATACTCAGAAATGGAATGTAATACAACGGAGAGTCGGATAACATAACAGTCAACACCCTACCTGGTTGATTACATTCTTCCTGAGAATGCTAAATTTGACTTACTCTAAATACTATTTGACTACTTTATTTATTTTACCAGGTAAGGCCCACTGAGCTATGTAGAAGCCCCTTTTCAGTAGTGACCTGCGCATCACAAATGATAGGTCATTTATAGCAGCCAGATAAGCTAAATGCATGACGTTGATTATGAATGCGGGGGGGAAAACCGCTGGGAGAAAAATCCACGCAAACACGGGGAGAGAGAGAGAGACACGCACACTCCAAATATACCCACGGACTCCTGCACACCAGGCGAGGTAGTTAGCATCTCCTAGCCACCGTGATGATGATGAGAGAGAGACACGCAAACTCCAAATATACCCACGGACTCCTGTACACCAGGCGAGGTAGTTAACATCTCCTAGTCACCGTGGCTTGACCAATCGGGGAGTGGCGGGGAGGGAGGGATTCTTTGGCGTTACCGGAAACCGAATGATTCCCTTTTCCTGCCGCCGTTCCTTCTCTCTCCCTCTCTTTAACACGTTGTCCTGCTGCTGCGGAGGGAGCTGGTAGGAACGTTGGGTTGCTCGGTCAATGGCCTGCAGGGTCAACGGCGGCGTGGTGTATTCCGCAAATATGGCCGACTGTGAGGGCGGGCACAAGCCGGCGTGAGTAGGTTAAGCGTTGAGTTTTATAAGGGCACCACGGGATGACCAGCCCCTCCCCACCCAGCCCCTCCCCACCCGGCCCCACCCCTCCCACCCCCCACTCAGCCCCACCCACCCCACCCAGCCCCTGACCACCCTCTCCACCCAGCCCATCCCCACCCAGCCCTTCCCTCCCCACCCAGCCCCTCCCTGACGGACGGACACAATAATCCCCTGTGGGCTAGTGTGTAACCAGGAGGTTCCTACCAGTATCATCCTCTAATCGCGAGACGTTTATTATTCATAGATACTATTGATAGGTCGTTCTACCATCTACGTCCATGCTCCTTCGCTAGAGCCGCTTGCGGCTGATTTAAAGTACTGCACGTGGTGTATTAAAGATCCTCGTGCGGCTCGGGAGAGACCAGTTGACCACCACTGGCGTGGATGTCTTTTGTGCGGAGAGCGGCGGGTTGACGTGAACGCTTAACCGGTGCGTTCTTTTCGCTTGCAGCCTCTACGGATTCAAGATCCACCCCATGGCCTACCAACTGCAGCTGCAGGCCGCCGCCAACTTCAAAAGCCCAGTGAAGGCGCTGCGCTAAAATCGCTGGCGCGGAGAAGACTCGACCGTGTACACACACGCACGTACACACACGCACGTACACGCACGTACACGCACGTACACGTACACCACCACACCTGTGTCCACGCACACATGGCTACGTGTGTGTGTGGACACACGCGCTTATGCGTGCGTGTATACATTCAGGCATACGTTGATAAACACCTACACACACGAGTATAGATATACACGACTGCACACACAGACACAGGGATGCATGTATGGGTACGCGCGTGTGTGTATGCAACTCTGATGTGTGCACGCACAAACGTGCGTATGGAGGGAAACGTGCACACGCGCGCGCACGTATGCATACACGCGTATGCACGTGCACAATCACCACCCACCACACACACACAGACAGCTGTGACTCCCAAAGTCCCCATTAGTTCGTTAACATTAAATCGTGAATGTTAAGGAGCTCTGCCAGAAACGTCGATGGGCAGTGTTGTGAGTCTTGCCCTTTGGTGACCCCCCTCCCCCCACGCAGATGAACACAGTTTGAGTTTGGCGACCGATTGCACAAGAAAAAAAAATGATGATGATAATCCACACTCCCAGCGAACGCTTCGGTGTTTTCATTACGTGCGTCTCTCGCGGGGGCAAACGCATCGATTTCCACCCCGACGGTAGTCGTGGGTCCGAATCGTCCCGGGAGCCTTTTGTGTAAACAACTCAGGGGGGGGGGGGGCGGTGGTGGTGGGGGGCCTTGGCGTTTCTCTGGCGTGAATTTGATCCTTTGAAATCGGTAAATGTGTTTCCTCGTCAGTCGTTAACCACCCACACCCTCCCCCCCCCTTCGTGTTGAGTTACCGGCCCGCGGAAGTGGATAATGCGGAGCCACTCGCGAGGTCTTTCCCCACGTGACACGCCGCTGGTCTTGGAGGGGGGGGGTGGGGGGCAGCTATCCCGCCCGCGCATTTAATTTCGGGAGCCGGAGGCTGTGAATGTAGGCGAATTAAAATGCGGGGAGCTGGGACCCCGGCTCTCAACGGGGGTCTGACTCGTCATCTCTCACCTCTAAGCCATCAACCCGCACCACAAAAACAACAAAGATCCCCCGTGTAGCCTTTGCAGACTTGGCGCAAGTGCTGTTAGCGAGCACGCATGAAGGCCGGCATGGCACGCGAGGGGAGTTGGTGGTCAATGCCACGCCCGACCGCGTTTGTCTCCCCAGTGGCGGTGTTTCAACTGCACCAGGTATTCATTTGAGGCTGAGTCGACCTAGGGGAGGCCCAGATAATTGTCGCTGGTGTTGGCCGTGAGCGGGAATTGAACTCGGGTCTCACAGGTTCATAGCAGAGTGCGCTAACCGCTACACCACCCCACCACACACTAATTTAAGATAAAATTAATACTTAGAAGAAATAACAATGACATTGGCTCTTCACTTATCAGGCACAAAAAAATTAGAGAATAAGTACGTCTATAGAAAGTTTAAGTTAACATTTTAATACAAAAAAAGCAAATGTGACGCGCTGAAGATTGCTGTTGCGAACGCACGGCGTATTCCAAGAAGGTTAATTCGTTTTTATTTTGCGGATGTTTTGTGTTTGTGAAATAAAATTCTTCCCAACAGCATCGATTGCTGGATGCCCCCGATTGCTGTTATCTAAAATGGGATGTTATACCTGGCCCTTTACAAATAATACTGGTAGGAACCTCCTGGTTACACCAGCCCACGGGGGATTATTGTGTCCGTCCGTCCGTCATGCGGGGAGGGGCTGGGGTGGGAGGGGTGGGGCTGGGTGGGGGGTGGGGCTGGGTGGGGAGGGGCTGATCACGCCCTGGTACCCTTATAAAACTCAACGTTTAACCTACTCACGCCGGCTTGTGCCCGCCCTCACAGTCGGGCATATTTGCGGAATACACCACGCCGCCGTTGACCCTGCAGGCCATTGACCGAGCAACCCAACCGTTCCTACCAGCTCCCTCCGCAGGAATGTGTTTTTCACACCTACGTGACTTTACCGATATAACCAAAGAGTATTGATCCTTGCAGTCACGAAAACTTCAAATCAATAACAGCAATTTTCTGTACTTTTGAGGTATAAGCAATTGGAAAATAACACTACCCAGAGACAATATTTTTGTTACAGTGTAATCACGCTCTCGTATGCGTACCAATTAATAATGACTCGTATGCGTATTAATGAATTACTCGTTTGCGTATCAATTAATTAATACTTCTCGTATGCGTAACAATAAATAATCACTCGTATGCGTAACGAAAAAAAAAATCAGGAATCGTTCTGTTTAGAACACGAATTTATTAGTAGCGCGTAAGAAACAAAAAACCCGCGTGTGATTTTGTAACAAAACGCTTTTTAAAAACGGAGCGGGGAGGGGAGGGGGTGTGGGGAAGGAGTCGTTGGAACGACGAACGAAAAACGAAGGAACAATGGAACGCGCGTGGAGGGGCAGGGGGCGTGAAAAAGTCGCGTTTTTTTGCGAGCGACGGGGGAGAGCCACAAAACGAAGTAAAGAGTTTGGCGAAAACGTTGAACTAACAAGGAAGAAAATACAATTAAAACATTCAATTTTTTGTTAATACAAACAAAGCGACGCACAAAAACAATTAACACATCAAAAATGCCTTTAAAAAATGTTTTAAAAATGTCAAAAGTATTAATTTTTTTTTACAAAAGAATTTGTAGACTTTGTCACGAAAGAATGTCAACAAAAGAAAGAAAATGTCAAAAATTTCAAGCAATGTATAAATGTCGAAAATTGTCACAAAAAATGTCAAAGTCAATGAAAGAAATAAAGTTAAAAGAAAAGTTAAATAATACGTAAACATTTAAAAATAAAAAAAAAACATTCGTCAAAAAAAGTCTAACAAAACAAATATGTAAAAAAAAGAAATTGAAACATTAGTAAAAAAATGTTTTTTGCAACAAACAAAAAGTTTCAAATTTCCCTTTTTTAAATCGGCCGTAACACTTTTTTTCCTCCCTTCGGGGGTTGTCAATCCACGACGCCGCCGCCGACGGGTCAAAGGTGCAGCCCCTGCAATGGACGCAGCCAGAGAGGGTGCCACGCTTCTCCCGGCAACTTTACAAAGGCAAAAAAAAACGTAAAGTGCAACAACTAGAAAGGACTTCTAAATCGGTCTGTGCGGTCTCGACTCCAAAAAAACGTGAGCGATTAAAACGTCTTCTTGGTTCTTTCGGTAAAGTCACGTAGAAGGGAACTAATAAATAATAAAAAGAAAACAAAATTACGTTTTATTTTAATTAACATTTTTTTTAATGAAATTTGTTTATTCAGAATTTTCCCCCCATTTTTAGTTATTAATAAAAGAAAACAAAAGAGTTAAATGCTTATTATTTTATTATTTTAAGATAATAAGCAAACAATTTTTTTTTATTTTAATTAATAAAAAAAATTATGAAATGTTTGTTTATTCATATTTTTATTAACAATTTTATTTATTAATAAAAATAAAACATAATAAAACAAAATTGTAAATTATTATTTCCCTTCTACGTGACTTTACCGAAAGAACCAAGAAATGAATCCCTGCGGTCACGAAAGCTTTAAATCGAAGATTAAAACTTAGTATATATAAAAAAACAGCAACATCAACTTCGTAGCGAAAATGTTATTACATTTTAGTCTATTGACCGGCAACAGCAGCAGGCCTTCTCAAACGATTATTTAAAAACTTCAAACAAAACAATTCGCGAGCGGCATTCAAACAATAAGCCAGGGGTGAAGGTAAAGGAGCAGCCCCTGCAATTGCGAGTTCTCGGTGGCATTGCGCGCTGTTTGTTACACAAATCTTAAATAAATTTAATAAAAGTAAAATAAAATAATACAAATAAAAGAATTTTCTTTTTCTTTTACTTTCATTAATTTATATTTTTTACCTACGTGACTTTACCAAAAAAACCTAAGAATATGAATCCTTGCAGTCACGAAAGCTTCAAATCTAGCACGCGGGGACCCCCCCCCCCCACGCCGGTGGCGGTCGGCTGCGGAGAATAAACAAACTCACGGCGTCAACAACAACAAGAACAACAACAACAAGAACAACAACAACAAGGAAGAACAACAACAAGAACAACAAGAACGAAGAACGCGACCGCCACTGCGTAGGCGAGCGCGGTTGCGGTGAAAGCGGTTGCGGTGAAAGCGGTTGCGGTGAACTTTTTATGGTGAACGCGTTCGTGGTGTACAGGGTTGTGGTGTACAGGGTTGTGGTGTGCAGGGTTGCGGTGAAAGCGGTTGCGGTGAAAGCGGTTTGCGGTGAACTTTTTATGGTGAACGCGTTCGTGGTGTACAGGGTTGTGGTGTACAGGGTTGTGGGGTACAGGGTGCGGTGAAAGCGGTTGTGGTGAACTTTTTATGGTGAACGCGGTCGTGGTGTACAGGGTTGTGGGTGTACAGGGTTGTGGTGTGCAGGGTTGTGGGGTACAGGGTTGTGAGGTACAGGGTTGTGGGGTGCAGGGTTGTGGTGTGCAGGGTGTGTGAGGTTACAGGGTTGTGAGGTACAGGGTTGTGGTGTGCAGGGTTGTGAGGTACAGGGTTGTGGGTGGCAGGGTTGTGAGGTACAGAGTTGTTGTGTACGCGGTTGTGGGGGTACAGGGTTGTGGTGTGCAGGGTTGTGAGGTACAGAGTTGTTGTGTACGCGGTTGTGGGGTACAGGGTTGTGGTGTGCAGGGTTGTGGGGTACAGGGTTTTGGTGTGCAGGGTTGTGGTGTGCAGGGTTGTGGTGTGCAGGGTTGTGGGGTGCAGGGTTGTGGTGTGCAGGGTTGTGGTGTGCAGGGTTGTGGTGTACAGGGTTGTGGTGTGCAGGGTTTGTGGGGTGCAGGGTTGTGGTGTGCAGGGTTGTGGTGGACAGGGTTGTGGTGGACAGGGTTGTGGGGTACAGGGTTGTGGTGGACAGGTTGTGGGGTACAGGGTTGTGGGGTACAGGGTTGTGGGGTACAGGGTTGTGGTGGACAGGGTTGTGGTGGACAGGGTTGTGGTGTACAGGGTTTTGGTGTGCAGGGTTGTGGTGTGCAGGGTTGTGGGGTACAGGGTTGTGGTGGACAGGGTTGTGGTGTGCAGGGTTGTGGTGTGCAGGGTTGTGGTGTACAGGGTTGTGGTGTGCAGGGTTGTGGTGTGCAGGGTTGTGGTGTGCAGGGTTGTGGTGTACAGGGTTGTGGGGTACAGGGTTGTGGGGTACAGGGTTGTGGGGTACAGGGTTGTGGGGTACAGGGTTGTGGTGACAGGTTGTGGTGGACAGGGTGTGGTGTGCAGGGTTGTGGGGTGCAGGGTTGTGGTGTACAGGGTTGCTGGTGTGCAGAGTTGTGGGGTACAGGGTTGTGGTGTGCAGGGTTGTGGGGTGCAGGGTTGTGGTGGACAGGGTTGTGGTGTGCAGGGTTGTGGGGTAACAGGGTTGTGGTGTGCAGGGTTGTGGGGTGCAGGGTTGTGGTGGACAGGGTTGTGGTGTGCAGGGTTGTGGTGCAGGGTTGTGGTGTACAGGGTTGTGGGGTGCAGGGTTGTGGGGTACAGGGTTGTGGGGGTACAGGGTTGTGGGGTACAGGGTTGCGGTGTGCAGGGTTGTGGGGGTACAGGGTTGTTTGTGTACGCGGTTGTGGGGTACAGGGTTGTGGTGTGCAGGGTTGTGGTGTGCAGGGTTTGTGGGGTACAGGGTTGTTGGGGTACCAGGTTGTGGGTACAACAGGGTTTGTGGGGTACAACAGGGTTGTGGTGTGCAGGGTTGTGGTGTGCAGGGTTGTGGTGTGCAGGGTTGTGGTGTGCAGGGTTGTGGTGAACGTGGTTTGTGGTGAACGCATTTACGGTGGAGCGGGGTTTGTGGTGGTGAACGCGGTCGTGGTGGTCCGACGTTTCGGGATATGCGCTGGGAGCTTCTTCAGGAAATGAATGTGGAATCCTAAAGCCGTTCCCCCCTTTCAAACTCCCCCCCCCCCCAGCCAAACTGTTCAGATGTGAACACAGATCCACTCTCACCCCTCTCACCCCCTCACCCCCCCCTACTCAGAAGCGACTTGGTATTTCTCGTACTGTTGAAACGAGCAAAGCGCCGCAATTCAACCGATTTCTCTTGAGCATTATTCATTTAAAAAAACAATTAATCACACCGTTAAAATTTCAGTCTCATAGATGCTGTTGTTCAAATTGACAAGGTTTCAACGAACACACAAATTAAGAGGATCGATGCCACGCAGGAAAAAGCTTTTCGTGCCGGCAATTTCAACTCCCCCGCTTCAAAATCAGGAACGCTGCTGAGACCGCCGCTTCGTGTTCCTGAAGGCGGTCGCGGCACAAAACGACGGGACACCGCGCGGGCAGGCGACGCCGAATGACCAACATCGAGGCAAGCGTCGGACCAAACGGGATGGATATGCGACCACTCTGCGTGGGACGTCACGGCCGCGTTTGGCTCAACACATCGCAAAGACACACAAACTCACAAACCTCAAAAATACACAAACACACACACAAACAAACACACACACACAACACACAAACAAACACACACAAACAAACCACAAACTCACAAACTCAAAAATACACAAACACACACACACACACACAAACAAACACACAAAACAAACTCAAATAAAC